CCGTACCATTTTTTATGGGAAATATTGTCAAGCGGGCTGGCATCGTATGTTGTTTAGTGATTGCCACCGTCCATTTATATCTACAGTAACTGAAGGCTTGCTGATGCGTTGACCTTAAAAAAAGGCGGAGCCGGTTACCTCACAAACCAGACAATGCGTGAAGCACCAGACAAATCGATTAACTTTAAACGAGTTTCATTTTGTATTATATATATATTATATATATCCTTATTTTATATATTTAATAGGGAATGAAACGGCTATCAGCGTTTTTTCATGAATTTATGACGTGCGTAGATTTCGAAAAATCCGCTAACTAAATTTTATCCTATTTTTTTTTTTTTTTCAGGGAATGAAAAATATCATTCGAATATGACGGTAAATTTCTCCGCAAAATGTTATAATAGCTGGGTCGGTAAACGGGCGGCCCCAGACGGCCGTGGTTCGTGTCACGATCATTTACACACTTTTTTTTTTTACTTTTTTTTTTCGATTCCAGATCATTGATTTCTTAATTTTTTATTTTTTGTTGATCCAGATGTTTTTGTTACTTTTTTTTCTTTTTTTTAAAGTTGTTTCTTTTGTGAAAAACACCACTTCATATTTTCTTATTATTAGGTCGGTAAGATCGAAAAATATTATGCATATTTCATTACTCAGTAATTTGTATCTAAATGTAATTTCTAAAATACACGATTTACAAAAAAAAAAACTTCTTCAAAAACAAACAAAGGTCTTCCAGGTATATTGTTTTATTCGAGAAACAGTAGTTCAATCAATATACGAAACAAATTGGAAAATTATCCCAATTTATGGATCTTAACAGTAGGTCCTAGAAAAAACTTTTTAACCCTATTGGTTTACACAGCAACAAAACTTTACACAGATAATAATAAAACGCAGCGGAATGTAACGGGAAATAACATGGGCCTTGGATGTGGTGGCGTTCGAGATGAGTCTAGATCATATTCGCATTTTTGAAATTGAGTTTTTTTTACGACCAAAAACAGTTCCGACAATTATTTTGTTGAAAACGACCAGTGAGTGTTCTTTTTCGTCTCTTTCTAATTGCCTACATGCATAAAATTTGGAATTTTGAAACCTATATCATTTTCCAGCGTTTTCCTTAGTTAAAACTTCGGAAAAGTCATAAATAACGAAAGAAAAATTTATGTTCGCTTATAGAATATGTAAATAAAATTTATGCTGAGTATGCGTTTTAAACGTAGCCGTTTTCAGCTTTTAAATTCAAATTGTAACTGTGCACTCGGCATGTTTTCTTAAAAAGCATGGGATGTCTCAGAATTTATATCAAAACTTATAAAGTTTATCCGGTGCCCATCTCCTATCTATGTGACAAATGTAATTAGTATGCCCCACCTCTTGCTTTTTATCTATCTACCACAGCCCCTTATCTTTTATTTCGTACTTTTTATAATCTCAGTTATTTAAAATTCCAGTAGAAACAGTTAAAAAGTATTGCCTATTAAATAGATGAAAAGATTTGATATTAGCATATCGCTTAGATAAGAATCAATAAGTGTTTAAGATAATGGAAGATAAAGGAACGTCTTAATTTTAATACGGTACTCCTACGGTACCATATCTCGGGGCAGTTTGAGAAAACAGGGGGGATGGGGGGCTGTCACGCTATTTAAATGCGTTATGTGATTAAAATGTATGATACGTATGTAGAAGACGCTGCCATCAGAGGTTTCTGAAATGCGACGTAATGTTCGTGCGGATTGCACTTTCATGGAGCTCCACTCGCTTCATTCACCTGTCGCCACGTGCCGCGCCTTCATAATTCCGCGACAGCTCTCGGAACCTCGATTCTGGGAGCGTCCGCCACGCTGCCCTGGGAATATCCCGTTGCCGTTCTTGGAACGGGAATTTTGAACGAGTGCGTTTTCGGTACCAAACTTTCACGTTTTATAAAGGAAGGTAGGACAAGCTGGAAAGTTGTGCACCCGACGCCAAGGAAGTATAAGCGTCGAAATTTGACGGTTGACGCAGACGCGCCCAGTCTATTACGCATGCTTAGAAGCATGTCCTTGAGAAGACACGAAAACAGAAAATACTTCCTCTTTACGGTCTTCTCGAAGGCTGTAGAACTTACTTCATCGAGCTATCTATACTGTAGTGCAAATTACTTAGTTAAGTAACTCGTTAAATAAAAACTATACTTACACGCGGAAGCAACACTATATTGAACGGAGGGCGCAGGCTTCGGTAGATGGCGTTATTGTCTATGGAAAAACCAGCGCCCGCTCTCGTAGCACGATGACAGACAGAGAATTAAAAGATAAGCCCACATGATATACAAATACAAGACGTTTCTAAACGCTATCTCGTACAAATAAGTGGGACATAAATTAATCGGGGCTCAGTGCGATAGACAAAACATGTAATTCCATAGTAAATGTTACTATCGCATAGTTTCGGTGCTTGTTTGTGTGGATCCATTACGCAGGGCCTCTGAATTCGTCTGATAAGAGTGAAGTTTCCTTAAAATCACACGTTGCTCCCGTCACCGTTTGTTATCACTTTAATCCGCCATGGAGACGGAGAATCGTATTGGAACTGTGTTGAATGATTAAAAAACATTGAGTGTATTCAATATTAGTATTTTTTGTAACGTGTTTTTTTTTTTCAATTTATGTATTTACGCTTAAGTAAAGTGTCTGTAGAATTCAAGAGTGCCGAAAGTTTTTGTCCATTTGTTTGCAAAAATTCGCTTTCATCTTGAATGCAGAGGCTAAAATGAAAAATAAAATTATTCAAAAATGTTTGTTTGAGTTAGAATTCACTGTTTAGTTTGAGGTCAGTAAAATTTTCGCCAATTTTAATAAAAGTTTACAATTATTAAACTTGTACCAATTTTGTATAACGCACGTTAACAATAATTATTCATGTTTGAACACGCATGTCTGGTTCCCACATTCAAACTATCAATACAAATATTTATTTCCGGAATGTGTGTAGCTGTTTTATCGTAATTGTAATAAGTACTTATCACTGGAATAGTGAGTGAAATGATTAATTACATAAATAATACATACCTTTCGGGTGTACTACGTTTAAACTTTATTCTTAACAAATAGTAATTGGTCTTACAAAAATACTATTAACAACTGATTATTATTTTGTAACATGTCTGTATCGAATCGATGATATATAGTTGCCAAAATGATAAATAATAAACATTTAAAAAATATCCGAAGAAACAAAGCTATACTCATTGATGTTTATGGGTCACAAGGTTGATTTGAACAGTATTTAATAGAGAAAATAAATTCGAAAAAATATCATGAGATAACTTCTCTGGACAGGGACTGTACCTGACCGGAAGGGAAGGCCATTTTCTATATTATTATATCTAGGGTATATAAAGAGGAAAAAAAAAATTAAAACAAACTTCCTAAATTTTATTACTGACACAAGAAACACTGGGGTAGCAATTCGGCAACAGGGCATGCTGAAACGGCCCGGTTAAAGTGCGAAACGTAAACGAGGCATCCAAAACGCAAATCGCTTCATGTAAATTGTAAGTTCGGGGAACGTATCCATTGTAATTGTCGTACGCAGCCGTGATTGCAGCGAGAGTTAACACGTAATACATTACAGTTTGTGTCACAACACAATCAGGCTCCGCCGAGGACGAATCAGGCGCCGAGCAGCGTAATCTGGGTTAACAGGGGTCAAACGGCATCACAAATTCCAATACGATATTAGACCTATCTGTGGCGCGAATCGGCCGCTCTACGTGCGGCCGTTATTGGCTTCCTTGTTGGTACACTTGTTGATCTAGGGGCTGAGGCGGTCGAGCTTCTGTTTTTATTGCACCACTCCCGATAAATTATCGAGCACGTTCGCAATGGTCGATGATGTTTTAATAATAACTTTGATATTGACAAGAATTACACCGTAAGTTGAAGTTCAGTGAAAAATTACAATGATATAAGAATTATAACATAATTCTGAGCACAGTGGAAAATCCAAAGATCGTTTGGACGCTAGGTTTCGCTCATATGGTCCCGCATTCGAACTCCGGTGGTTTACCGATGAGATTTCGATTCTTCGGATTTGTTGCGCATAAAAATATCTCATATTTTCACTTACTACGGCTAAGCGTTTCTGACCACGCTAGTGATCTTAATTCTTAAGTATCTTAGTCTATTCCGTTAAAGTTACACAGACAAGTTTTTCAGGGAAAACTGCTAATCAATTGATGATAAGGTAATTTCTATTAGGGTCCTAAGGACGGAATTTCTCTTTTAGTAAGATTTGACAGGTTTGTTCGTTGTTTGTGGATTTCTGGTAATATACAATAAAAAAATAAAAAAGTAAATAAATCATAATTTAAAAGAAATATTAGAATCTAGAGAAACATTTTTCGGATTGATCAGTCAAGGCTGAAAGTTGCCTGCCTGAAAGTCCCCTCACCTAAATGCGATGATAAAATCTCAAATATAACCTAATAGCTGCCGAGAAGTTAAGAAAAACTACGATTGCGAGATCAGATTATTCGCACTAATTCTGTCAAATCTGCAATAATTCGAAATTATTTCAATAAACCGTCATCAATTCCACTTAATGTTTTTACGTTAAAGAAGTATAACTTCTTACGTGCGTACATAAGTACATACATACTTTTTTAAAAGTATGTGTGTACTTGGTAGATTATACGTTACGTGCGTAATATTTTATAAATTTAACACATTTTCAATGCAGATTATCCTATCAACATTAGACTTTTTGTTTTAGGTTAAAGGTTATTTTTATCGTTGTTTATATTCAACGTTTCGTGTCATCCCAGTCGAGCAGTTTATTAAAGAATCTTATGTGTAAACAAAGCCAAAGATTTGACAGATATCATCGGATTAAAAGTAAGTAAAGATATAATGAAAACACAAAACTAAACAGCGATGGACGTCAATATAAAACTGCGCCCAATTAATCTGGAATAACAAGGCGGCCATAAATAATTTAAACTTGTAATGCGACTGTTCGCGGTGCGTCTCGTTTAAATGAACGCTTTTAAAACGCCATGTTTGTGCATGTTTAACCTTATTAAGCGGTTGGACACAGATTCGCCATTATGTGGTCAAACCGTCATCCAGCAACAATATTCAATGAATGTAATCAGTGTGGCTCATCAACGGTTCGTATCGGCTGACGCAACGGACAACTGTCCAATTTGAATCTCGATTCGTTCTGAGAGCGACTTTTGTTTCGCCGTTCCTCACAGATTAGATGCGTACGCTCTATGGATCCGGCCGGTTGTCTATACTAATTTGCTGAAATATGCTCAGAGCGGGACCGAGACTAAACTAAAACTGAATAGAACAAGTAGAACATAATTTAAAAAACTAAAAAAACCCGACTACGTTTCTGTGTATTTTTTTATTTTGATATACCCAGTGTCACTCGCAGTAAATACGAATCTAACGACACCTCTGACGCTAAAATCCATCAAGCCGTTCAGGCTGCAGAACGGGGCAAACAATTATACATACATACATAAATGCATATATTCATACATACTCTCGAAAGACATAACCCTCCTTCTGGCGCAGCGGGTAAAAAAGGGACAACTCTTTATGCTCGAATAAATTACTTTTTAATGAACAATATATTACTAATTCTTTTTTATTTATTATGGTATCATTTAATAACATATTTCTGCCGAACAAAACATATTTAAGCATTTATCATTCGACGATAACATTCTCAAAAGATGATCTAAAAGGTATATATATATATATATATATATATATATATATATATTTATATATAAACCTATACAAAAGAAGTCAATAATTGAATCTATGAAAATATATTTCATAGATTCAATTATTGTATGGTCTTTTATTCAAATGAACATACGTCTTCAACACATTAACGTTACGATCGAACAAAATAAAACGGTTGGCACGTCAAACCAATGATCGTGACAAGCTCATCTAAATTTGGTATTGAAATAAAAATAGCAGGGCCAGTGTTTCAAACGGTCCAGTGTGCATTTTAGTAATGTGATAATGAATGTGAAACATTACCACCGACCGTATTACCATTTATGCGTACAAACTAGGAAGCTTTCGTAAAATATTTTAATGCTGTAATGCTTTAGTACAGATAAAGTAATACTAAAATAATTATTTATTCTCAGTGTTATTTGAAAATTAATTATTCCTCTAATATTACTATGTTTATCGATCACTAAAGTTAAATCGATACAGTTTACATTTAAAAGATCAGCTGTATATTAAAAATAAGCGTGTGAAATATAATGGTCCCGTATATGAATTTTCACACTGTCACAATGTTAAAAGTGAACGTTTACATTATTTTCTCTATTAACCCCATATTATGTAAAAGTCATCAGCGTTATTATGTCTGTATGCAACAGTGCCATCTGAAAAATAGACTTGAAAAGCGATTGCCTTGAGCATGAGTAAAAATTATAAAATACAAGCGAACCGCCCTGGCTTCGTACGGGTGCAATGTATTATACATATAAACCTTCCTCTTGAATCTACTAAAACTCTATCTAATAAAAAAAAAAAAACCGTATCAAGATCCGTTGTGTAGTTTTAAAGACCTAAGCATACATAGGAACATACAGACATCGGGACGATTTTGTTTTATACTATAAAACAAAATCGTTCCGCTGTCTGTCTGTAGTGAAGAAGGAGATATGTCTCATTCACATGCCCGACGTGTCGACTGAAATTGTGTAAATCGGTGTGAATCGTGGAAAGCGTAATCTAGGTCCGTAAAAATATCATCATTAGCGTTAGGTAACTCTAGCATAATAAACGGTAATGTTAAAATACGTTTCGCTTCCGTATTTTACTTTAGTCTAATCTAATCTTTTACTCATTTCCGTGTGACTTTTCAGAATTTGTCGGACTTGCGGCGTAGCAAGTCTCCGCCGCGAAGGTCGCCCGACGAGCGCGCTGTGCCGCGTCCCCCCTCCGCGCCGCTCCACCATGAGCGTGGGCCGCACACGCCGCACACGCCGCGCACGCCGCACACGCCGCACACGCCGCACACGCCTCACCTTTCGCCGAAGAAAGAGGCCTTCAACAACCTCCTGAACAAGGGTATAGCCGGTAAATACCGTCTTCTTATACAACTAACATTCACTTACGGTTACAGAGCTGAAATCAGGAAGGGTTTTAACATATATCGTACTAGCCTTTACCCTGACCTAAAAAGTAGTTAATTTTTACAAATAATCTTTGAATAAATAAACTTAACAGTCTATATCCATTAGAATCAATTTCTTTCAAACCCGTTCGGGCATTGTGTTGATAAATGAATACCGTTACCAAAAAAAGTGAGTCCCGGTTACCTCACCTACCAGGCGAAACACGAAAGTTTAATACTTACACTTTCAGCCGGTCTACTGTGAGTCCGTGTGTCGTACTTCCCCGAACGAGCCTGCATATTCCTGCAATAGCAGAAGCTATTAATAAAACTAAATTTTTACGTTCTAACATACGTACTTTAAAAACATCTGTCTTAAGACGCTGTTAGGGTACGTAATAGAACTCGTCAAGTTGAGTTCAGATTTCGAGAGTATTTCCGGTTTTATAAACAGGTGATTCTAAGCATAAACTAACGCAATTCCGACTTGGAATTAGGTCCAAATTCTCATAAAACGGAGAAGTATTTAACACAAAAGGAGCATTCGTAGAGGCGTTGTACCGGTCGTTGTCTCTTTCAAAAATATTAGTAACCACGAGGACGATAAATTTCGTGATAAAAAGGCAAATGACGTGAAGAAAACATGTCACAGTTTTGAAAAACACTCATTCACTGTGCGTTAACAGGTTATCTTAAATTTTAAATATCGAATATTTGTTGAGTACGGGCCTCGGCAACTGGACACTCCTACGAGTTTCTTGTTCCTAGTAAAGCTTTAATGAGCTAATATAATGTGTTAATCTCTTCTTCTGATCCATTAAAATATCAAGCTCTTCATAAAAAAATTATTTAAGCACCTTTCGTTTCAGTTAGAACTGGTAACTTTGAGACAAAAAATCAAACAAATCGTTAAGATATGTATTTTATGGTGTGCCTTCCAACGTAGGAATTAGGTTGGTTAAAATTATATTTATTCTTACGAGCAGTGTGTTACGTGACACGTTAATCGTACGTCGTTAATATTTTTAACACTTTCGAAATTGAATGTGAACATCAATAAATGTACGTTTTACGAGGGTATCAATTTCCAATGAGAAAGAGTCGAGAACCTCCTCAAACTTCACGCTCTATTAACGGGCAGTAAATACGCTATCATAGACGAGGGATGTTGATTTATATTGCCATCGTAGTGGCATCGTGGAGCGGACATAGTCTCGAAAGCTCCGCACTTAAACAAACTGCTTATTCCCGGTCACGCGTCGTCCCAACGGGCCCCTGTGTAGAGTTGGAGCTAATCTACTCGCTAATCTGACGCCTTAATTGATTTCCCGATATCTTTCACGATGGATATCGTAAATGCGACTCCCTCGATGCGCGATCTCGAAAAGATTTCACATTTCACGTATAACAAAACCGAAAACAAATGAAAGAGCTTTGGTATACCTTTACTTTAATGCATTGCAACCGGTGCAAGGAGTTATCGCATAGCGATTGCAGGCACCCGAAGTTACGGGAACACTTTACAAATAGAACTGAAAGATTTCTCGAGGAAGCTGGACACCATCGATCCTCTGGTGATGAACGCAGCTAATTATCAAACGAATCCCAACGCGACCCTTCGCAAACGTCGCCCCCGTAACGTTATCATCGACCCGGTCGAGGAAGGGACTAGAATTCCCACCAGACGAGACTACTCTGACTGTACTAAACTGCAGTTCCTCCTCACCTACGAGCACGGTTTAACCCACCGCGTACATAAGGTACACTCGTCTCCCGAGACGACTGACACTTCTCACAACCGATGTCACGGTCCTTACACTGGATCCCTGCAATAAAAATAAAGTACGATAATACGTTGAGATTTTCGCGCGGTGAGGATATCCACCGCTTGGCTTAGTGCTTAGAAGGCGCAGATTCGAATTCAGGCAGCGTCGAAGAATTTTTCTGACATTTTATCAACATATTTTAATCTCCGAGATCAAATTTCTTCGAGCGTACGTATATCACAACACCTCATTATATGAATTGACTACGTGTCGCGTCGTATCCAGTAGCAGAGCGGCGCGGCGAAGAAATCGGGCTTCTTTATGGGCTTGAAATATGAAGAAGCGGCAGAAACTTCTATCGTCGCATCGCCCGTGTTAATTGCCGAACCAACGTCGCTTTGAGATATGATAGTTTGAGAGAGCTTCGGGGCCGACGTTATTTACGGAATCCTACTTCTCGTCGGATGTTAAGATTAAACAAGTTAGGAATTGATGTAAGAGACGTTTTTTTATATTTATCTATGTCGTAACAACGGTAAACTTATCCCTATTCTACATCCCATGTTAGACGATGATTTATAACTTGGCTATAAGGTAAATAAATATCTCCTGTTTAGTTAAAAAAAATCAACAACACGAAGTAGTGTTGAAGAAGTATGATAATAATGTTTGCAAAACCTCAAAAAAATTCTGGTAAATTTCTAAATCACATTTGCTAAGTCATATATGTACATTATAATATACCTACATGTATGACTAAGTCCTCGGCAGTTTGGATATCTCTAAACAGACTTCGATCTGGTGTAGGAAGATGCCAGGATAACCTAGTGAAGTGGGGTTTCTCCAACGACAGTAAATGTCACTGTGGCGAGGTCCAAACTATGGCCTATCTACTGCAATATCCATTGTGTCCCTACTCCTGTACCTACGAAGACCTGCTTGAAGCCAAATCTGCTACGGTGGACGTGGTCCAATACTGGTCGAACGAGATCTAAATAGCTATTTTGACTCGAAAAAAATAATATAGAGAAAAATTTTGACTGGTTCTAATTCATAATAAATAGAATAAGGAATAATTAGTAATGTAGGTTTACTAAGACTCTCAAGTAGCGTCAGTAAAAGCTTCGTTGGCTTCGAAATCCATTACTTTGGTTCGTAATAATGGATAATTTGGTAGGAAGAATACATTTGGAGTCAAGAATACAGAGAGAAAAATACAAGTGCTAGCATGGAACTTTTGTATTTATAAAGCCGAAACTAAACACGCCTACTAGTTAAGAAATAATATTATAACAAATGAATATTTTAATTTGTCAGAATTGGCTATAGTGTTCTCTATGAGTCTCAAGTCGATTAAGTCTTAGCGCGATGACTGGCCCAGTGAACCGGCTAGAAATGTGAATTTATGCATAAGCAATCCCAAAAAGACAAATCACAAAAGGTGTGAGTTTCAAACCGGTGACCTCCCACCGTTTCCGCGCCAAGTCAAACACTTAATATGAAATAGTAGGTTTATCTTGACTCAAATGAAGTTGAATCAAACTTGAATCAAAATGTTTTGTTATTTTATGTGAACATTTAAACAGACTGAAATGTCCGATAACTTTAAGTTTCAAGCTCATCTTTGGTCACTTATCTATCGCTCATAATGATATGCTGTATTTATCTCGAATGTTTGTATATCTTTCGTATAAATGGTGAAAGTCGTCGTTTACTTTAGAGTACACGGTTCTTTAATTCACCTTATCTGTATGCCAATAAACTATTTGTTAAGGTTTAATCTTTCTTGCGTTAAGATATTCACTATAAAACAAACCAAATTATCGATTAAATGGTCAACTTTCTACATACCATTTACATTACCTGCTCTAAAACAAACAATTAAAGTAACATTGATCTGCGAATGTTAAATATATATGGACGATCACTTACTCTATGTTATTATAGATCAAACACGGAGTAAAAACCTACTGTCAAAATAATTTCAACGAAACGAACTAATCCATCGTCGGCTTTGCATCAAACTGGCCTCCCCCTTACCATCATTTATTCCCTCCTTTATAATTTTCCATTCATTCTCCTCAATGAATCATAATCTCCAAATCTCCTTTTGCTCCGTCCTTCTCTACAACGTGTAAATGAACGATGTTTTATCTCGCTTTAGTTCTTTTACCCCTTAAATCTAATCCGGTACATCCCGTCTGCCCAAGGCGCGCTCCCGACGTAATCCGTGTCTGTGCACATGCACCACGCACACAATGGAAGGTCATACAGCACACATTGTGCAGCTCTTTCGAATGTAACTTTTTTAATTATTGCGATGACTCCGTGGCGGAGTTGCCAAGGTACGGGTTTCGGCTCCGGGGGTGGTGGATTCGATTCCCACACGGGACAACTATTTGTGAGACCCTCACATAATTGTTCGGATCTGGGTGTTTGTCTACGTGTAATTTACTACGTGTAATAATTTATGTATGCAAAACGTCCTTACAAAAGAGGGTAATGATATCCTACAGTAAGGGCATAGTTTAAAAAAAGAAAAAGAAAAAAACATTGACGATGCCATTGACCTCTAGTTGTCATAGACATAGACCTTTAACGTATATTTAAATCAATAAACTCCGTTAAATTCTCCTATGACCAGATATAAGATTATTACGGTACCTACATAACAGTCTGTCAGAGATAGATTTAGGTTTATGATATACGCAAAATTTAATTTTTAATCGTATTCTAAAGCTCGATAACTCATGCCATGTGCGTATGTGTTAAGGGAGTCACCTCCATTAATCTCGAAATATCGATCTTATGCGACAGTCACTAAGGCTGCTTTAGCCAGTGACGTGTCAAAGGAATTCCCGTGAGCGGCCCGTACGCACCAAAGACACGGTGGCGAGTTATTCCTAATGCCTCTAATCGGGCGTTATAAATCATTATTAATTTCGTGCCGACCCGGTGCTCAGTCGATCCGCGCCGATTAGCGATTGCACAATGCGAGGCGGATTACGCTCACGGCTGGAGATATATCTTTTGTCAATTCGTACCTGGGTAGCGTTGGACAAATAAACCTTTTCTCATTTGGTAGACAGAAAATAGTGCCCATATCGGTAGGTCAATTTTATAATACTTGTTGAAAAATTGGTTTGTTTAAGCCACCGGTAAAATTCGTATGATTATTAATAATAATAATTTAAAAC